TGCTGTGCTGGTTGGCATTCTCCAAATGCTTTCAGAGCCACTCATACCAGACTAGTCAATGGTTAGGGGTCAGACCGACTCAGTTTTACAATCCTTTTCTTATTCCCTATTCTTTTAAAATCTAACCATGGGAGACAATGGGTTCACGGGTTATAAGCTCACAGCTCGATTGGTACGCAGCAGGAGCGCCATGCATTCTCCATGACGATGGGAGGGACCGCACGGAGCTCAATGGTTTGCTACCGCCCATTTTAAGCCAGGCAGCCTTAGATAAATAATAATGTGTCCGCTGTATGCCATAACGGCGCTTCGCTGCCGTGCGACCATCACCAGTCGCACGCGGGCTGAGTATACCGCGAGAACGCCCATCGCTACGAGGATTCGCGCCCGCGCCGCAAGATTACGAGACAAGCTCGTTAGATCTACGCTACGGGCCTCAGGACAAATTGGTGCAAAACCGACAACACTTGCCAGTTAGTTTTTGGCAAGAAACCATCTGGTGCCTCACTGGAGGGTTTGCTGAAACGTCACCACTTATGTTTGCTAGATCATGCCCTCCGTGTGTCCGTTAACCGGCTTCCCTGTCCTGTATTTTTCACCATTGCTGCATCAAGTTGGGTGAAACCGCGAGCTGGCCAGTCGATGAGGTGTTATAAAGGCATGAATAAATTGACTGACAGACCTGAGGATGTTCCATACCAGTGGTTGGAGGCTCTATCAGACATAGCGCTGTCAGTGATGTTTCTGACGAGACCCAGAAGGTCGAGACAGCGCTGTCTGGTGCTTTTCCAGATGTGCCAAAGTCAGCTGATCGAGAGTGGACTGTGATGAAGTACCCCTGAATTAGCATTTTTGTCTCCACTCTTCATATACTGCTTACTCAGTTACGCCTACCTTACATTCATAGCAAAAAGTGTGAGCTGAAGAGGGAGCGCTGACTGAATCTATCCATCTCCCCTCACTTTTACCATTCTATGTTCTCCTAGTCGTCTATGCTTCCATAGTTGCCCTCATGGAAACATGTCAGGCAGCAAGATGAAGCTAACCGATTCTGCTTCAAACATCTTCATCCCCATTACAAATATTTCGCTTTCGCGCCTAGCGTACAGTCAGACCAAAACCTCATAGTCAGTTGACGAGTGTCAACTATGTTCGCATCACACACAACAAACAAATTTCCCAATTTCTGTCTCATCCCATATATACAGTTGCTGAACGGAAATTAACAACTAAGTCCGTCTTTACTCTTTTTAGTACCCCACACTATAAAAATGTGTTGAGCCTAAATCAGATGCTATGTACAACAAGTATGATTTCAGCTTTAATGTTTGTCTTATCATCACAAAATTGCTCTTCATCCTTTACCCAAGAAAAAGAAAACTTGGTTCCGTTCGTACACGGAGTTCTCTGTCAGGACATCATGAATTATTTTTTGCTCATTCTGGATAACCACGCATGTTAAAAACAAGATTTTTTTTCAGCCTGGAAATATTATATGAAACAATTGTAAAAATTCGATCGTGCGGAAAAGCGCATGCCTCCTAAACCCGAGAATATATCTTATTATTATCAAACAATCTTTCGACGGATGTGACACTGATTATGATAACTGGAGAGCCAGTAAGGGCTTAGATTAACCAGATGGCTTTAAATTTCCAATGGTAAATGTTTTTTGATGCCTGAAACGGACGACAGATGTTGCCTTCCATATCGTGCTTCGCGAGAAGTCATCTCGGTCCTGAGGCTGAACGATATTTACAGACCGCCTGACAGAACGTGAAGCCGTAATTATGCCAGCCATTCACAGACAATGCCCGGTTTGTGTCCTGGTTCCCTGCACTGGTAGTAGAAACTCAGGTTGTGAAGACATTCACTGTCTGATGAGTGTTGATTTTCCCATCGATAACAAGAGGCGGTTGAGATCTCGCTGCACTAATGGTTGCTCTGCCAGTTGTTTGGAGTACATCTGCTTGAAGCTATGGTGAAAAAGCTGAATTGAAAGTTCCGCCATTATCGGACAATATTTCAGACTTTCTCCAACATAATTGTTGTTTCATCTATCAGTAGTATCCTCTCCCGGGCCTATTCACTACGCGTACCGGATATTTGGCTTCGTGGGACCATTTCTTCGTCAACCTTTGGGACTGAAAATTCACTGTACAGACACTCTAGTGTAACTCGTTAAATGTTAGCGAAGGAGCCCGTGGTACTTCTTCAGGTGTCTAACGCAAAGTCGAGAAGGAATATCACACAGTGCACATATTTCGCCATGAACCCCACGACTCACTGAGAGTGTCTAGTGCACTGCTGACAGTTCCATTGCTTCCGGTGCGGAGCGTGGCAATTGATCATCGGATTTCATTCTATAGAAATTGCCGCGGCACCTTGATTTCGTACGTTTTCTGATAGTATTGTACTTTGTCGCAATAAAAGTAGCAGTCCTAACTAATCCAGAAAATCTGCTCCTAGTGGTCCTAACTATCCGAGGACAGATTCTCAGAAGCATTTCAAAGTTGCTGCATTATAGCAATTCGTCTTCGGTGCCGGAATCTGGCGAATGGGACGCAGGCGATGCACCCAACATGGAATGTGATTGGGATGTGCACCAATATGATGAATGATTCCTACTTTTCATGCGATTTAAAAGGCCAAATCTGAGAAACGTTAAGTCTAGACAAGAAGGGTCTAACATCAACCAGATGAGCGCCTGTGTCCACCATGTATAATCCAGTGCGATCGTATCAGTTATTTCGACACATAGTGGGGATGACACTCATTGCGCACTGGAGACAGTTCGCTACGACCAAGGTCAGGAAGCACGACGAATTCTGTGAATGCCAAATTACGAAGCGGGTCAGTGTCAGTCGATTTCATCCGAAACAGACTAGGAAACGAATGCATTGTCCTTCGAACAGACCAAGTGAATTTTCGTCCTACCTATTAAACATCTGCAAATACACTGTGGTTAGTCTTACACGGGCCAGAACTGTGATTGGAGCCAATGACGAAAACACAGCCAATGGGGCTTTTGCGAAAGTGCGATTTATCGCTTAAATGATTAACTGATATCTGCAACAATGAGTCTTCACAAACACATAATTTTTGTCGAACACGGCAGGCGAATGACGCAGATTTGTGCGCGATATCAAGTTGGAATATCAAAAAACGTCTGCAAATTTTACCACACAACATCCGGCAAACTACGAATGCCGTCCGGTGTGGAGTCACAATTGTGCCGAGTGTGGAAAAAGGAACAACTGCTAGTTGCCGGTCGACCAAGGTGAACACGCCCGTTCGTGGTGGAGTGGGAAGGTACAAGAGGTAGCGTGTGTAGAATGGTGCCAAAGAGGTGCGTCTACGTGTCCATACTTGTTAGGGCTGACTCAGTAGATCTGCCTCTCGTTCTCTACCAATTCACTTACAGTCACGGCGACGCATACATGGGTAGAATTGACCGTCGACTAGCTCAACGTGCGGCTGAGCGCTTCCGAAAGTGATCAAGACAGTCGCTGTGTAATAACTGGTCACTAGAAGAACTCGGGCAACCCATTTGGATCTGTCGATAAGCAGTGCAGCAAAACTACTGGGGTGATCAATTAGATTGCCTTGTTCCGATCGTGTAAGGTGCACCAATCAACATGCATACGTTCAACTGCGGATATTTTCGTGTACGTATTGCATTTGCGATGGACGACAGAATGCGAAGATTGATAGATCGCAAATTAGGTAATAGTTATTCTGTGGAACAATTCCAGCCCCTGAAAATTCTATTCGAATTAGTATAATTATACTGATTAGCATGGCACCTGTTTTGGCGGCATCAGCCAAGGCAACTGGATCTATTGCATTTTGGCACACGGATCGCAGTTGCGTAACAGAGCAGAGCTTCCGAATAATAACGGAAAGGCTCGTGTATTCTTGTTCAGGCTGTCGCCTCCAGACCAGATGTTCGACGTTTTCGGTGGATCGTTGGTGGGGAAATGGTTGTTAGTCAAGCAAAATCCCTAATTCGTTACGCGCGTAGCTCGACGCGCGTTTGCTAACATTTGCCACTTATGGCGCCGGCGCGACATTACTCTCGCCCTGAAGGGTAGAGTGTACAATGCAGCGTTCGACCGTACTGCACGGTTGTGAGACCAGGCCCCTTAGATGAACGGACATAAAGAGGCTGGTTACCTTCGACCACAGGTGCATTCGCAAGTTAGCTTACATCTGGTAGGAACACCACGTGAGCAACGAGCGTGTTCGACGCATTGTTTACGACATAGGAAATGGAAATAAACGACTCAGCATCGTTATTTCACGCACCAAGCTCCGATGGCTCAGCCAAGTGTTACGCATACCAGCTCACCGAGTCCCACGACGTGCGTTGTTTGCGCGCCGGTGGTGTGGATGGAAGAAGAGGAGAGGTAGCCAAGCGATGACTTAGTCGAGAGGGATGAAGGTCCTCACTTCGAAGCTGGCTTCGGTTGGAGCATCTCGCCTCCCTGGTTGGCAACCCGAAGGACGATAAACACGTTTGGCTGGATACACTTGTTGATATGGCTAGGAGTCGACCTCAAGGGCTGCTGTTTCTTTTTCCCACCCCATCACTCTTAGCTTCCTCCTCCAAACACAATCTCACTATTTAGCCTTATATAATTCTGCATAGTAATTATTTTGACGCACAGTAGCCGACTTGTAGCTTACCGGAACGATGCCCATCCGTTACCGGTAGCTCAGCTGGCTTGTACCTGTTACATTTTGTTCCACTTTTTCTTTTATGTGTTGCGGCACAGTAGCTGAGGTGTTTCCCACCTCTAGCTAACGTGTATAATGATGATGATGAATCCGTTAACGTTACTTGGCTTCGTTCAACGCGCGTGCTGTCATAGTTTTACTAGTCAGGAGCAGCTGCTGCAAATGCAGCAAAAGTGGTTTTCTGTGGGTATTGAGGAGCATTAAGCCGTAACTACATCACCGAGCCAAGGTGATGGCTCGCCTACGTCTGACGAACTTACGGCGTTTGCTGCCGGCCATAGCCAGAAGATTTTATAGGGTGTCCAAAGGTGATTGGCCTGTTGAGCGATTGTCTGGATTTGGTCGGTTGGTTAATGCTACTCGTAGAATTGCGATGACAGAGCGCCTTGCGTAGAACTGAGTTGGGCAACAAATCTCCACTGCATGAAGAGAAAGATGAGAAAAGGCAACAGGTAAATCAGCTAATTTATGGGTACACAGATAGCGAGCACGGAATAACCATTGTGATGTCCGCTTAGAATAACAAAATAACATTAATGATAAAATAAGCGAAAAATAAGGTCGCTTGGATCACAACTAAAGCGTCCAACGTGATTAGATCCACGTTTAATGACTGAACAATTATAAGGCAGAGGCACAGGTTTGAAATGGAATTCATCACAGGTAAACTGTCATCTGTCTCCGGAACAGAATTGGACCGTAGCTTTACCATTTTGATTTTTTGGTGGTGCGTGTTACTCCGGTCTAGTAAGGGGCTCGAAACCATGGCCCAACATTGTGTAAACAGCCGTATACTGAGATGACTTATAGTGCAGCGGAGATGCTGTTCCACATCGCATTAAAGGGGCCAATAAAACGTTTGTCGCATTAGATTATAGCCAATTACTTGGTCACATCGGCTTCTCACATCTGTTGTGGTTGGTAAGTGTAGATTTGGCAGTAGTTCTCCGAACACGTCAAGCAAAGCCACTAAGATCTGCTGACAAGACTCGAAAAAAACAAAATGGCCATCTAATACGTTACCGGATGTCGCTCGCTAACGAAGTGGGTCTATCTGTGAGAAATTGCTTGAAAGCCGAATAGATATTTTGAAGGCGGTAGAGCAGGGATATGGAAAACAATTTGGGCAATTAAATTTGAATGAGAAAAAAGGAACAAAACGGTTATATTTAAGACAATCGACGAATGTCAGGCTCTGTTGGAGTTCACAAGAGAACTCGCATAGGTAATTATCTACCCCATTGCCGACTTTATCGCTCACAATACCGAAAACGAACAGTCGTAGAAAGCGATATCATTGATGACAGGATAACCATTTAGGTGAGCTACTCGATAAATTGAAGTGAATTTGTGGAGGATTTAGCACGAATTTATCGAACAGGACAGTGGCTACAGACTCCATTCATGCTTTACTGATCGGTTAGAAATAATGCACATTTTCTTAGACATACCATTCTTGCGTGAGGAATCCCATGAAAAACATATTACCATCTTTCCTGTGGAGCAAGTTAAGGGTGACATTGAATACGAAGTCGGTGAAGTCAGCAAATGGCATAATAAGTGAAGACAGAGGCGAACAAGCGGCTAAACCAACCATGTTAGCGTGGTTGCGTGTCCCAGACATATAAGGAGACTAATCGCACGCTCGAGGACTAAGAAAAGAAGCGGTTTGGGTAAAAGATGAGCGCTAGCGGTTCAGTGTACCTGCGCCGGGTGCCAGTTTTGTTGACGGCTAAGAAAGTGGAGACGTCGAGTACTAAAGTTGTTCGTCGACGGGTACTTCGAACAGCTGAAAATTCTGCACGAATATGGCACGCAGTGAAGATGCGCGCAACAGAAGCAATGTAATCATTATGAGCGAGGCAGCAGGACTGCCAGCTACAAGCTCTATGTTAGTCGTTCTCTTCAAGGTGCAATGCTTATTAGCACCGGAGTCCAATGGCAGCCTCTGAGACAAAGTTGGTTAAAATAGCGCCGGGTTATGTTAAAAGTTGCAATTTGTGATACAAATTTAAATCAAATGCTAGCCTTGTAATCTGAACAGTCTGGAGGAAGCTGATTGCATTGCATTTAGTTTTTTCATAAACGCAGTACTGTCAGCTGAATGTTAGGTGTTACGCGATCGGAACATCGCATTTTATGATCGGGTTCGCACTCGTAAAGTACCAGCACTGGGACTTGGGATTTCAAATGAACCTTCTACTCCTAAGTCGCCGAGTCAAAGTGGACAAAGCTTATCAGAACGGTTACCGACTGACCGCAGTGGTCAGTTTGAAGTTCTCGTTGTGTGAATGGATTGCGATATGCGATTCTAAGTTTGTAAGTTGTATTTTGATAAGACCAGTTCGGTTGTTTGGAGATGACATGATAAAGTGGACTGACTGAAGTAAAACTACATTCAACAAGGCTATGGACATTTCAGAAGTTATTTCCCTTTAAGAGATGGTCACGAACACAAGACGCAGTGACTTCAAAGGGGCCAAAGTTGTTACGTCTACAATGGAACAAGGGTTTTATCCGGGTTAAAAAGCTAAATCTTAACAGATCCCGCAGGACAGTCATGGTGAATATAGTAAAATATACACAAATCGCCAGCCATAGTATGTTCACACCGGTGGACTCACTGCGGTATAAGTATTATAAGCTGTAAATCCATAAGGAATGACGATAAAAGGAACGTTTGTAAAAAGCGTGCCGCCTCCTGGTGAGCACACACAAAAGTGAAATGTATTCTGAGAATCGACAGTCAGCGAAATGTCTAACAGACACTCGTGTTTAACCCTGGGCAGTGAGACATTTGAAGTGATACAACGAAATCAGTGCAGAGTCAACTCGGGCTTTGAACTCTACCGGAGTTGGAGCACAGATGACATTGTGGTTATATTAAGTCGCGGCCGGTGCTGTTTCTGCGAGTACAGCGAGTTGCTGCGGTTCACTAACTGTGATCTTAAATTCGAAGAAAGTGTGTTACGTAGTATGTACCGGCTGCGGATTAAGTTCACCGCCACCTGTTGTTGATTGAACTATGAGTTTCAGTTTAATCAGGCCACTGCCTTTGTAGTAAGGCGACGCTGGCAACCGTGTGATCGATTGCATTATGACGTCATCGGCGCAGAGAGCTTCATGGATGTACCAGGTTATGAGTATGGGCTTCTTCGTCGCTCGATATCCGTAGCTCGGGCACGCCATGAACGAAAATGAGTGTTCTGCTACTCTCCGTGTGGCAACCGTTTGAAACATTTTTGCCCCGTTAGCGTTCGCTCCATGGAACCGGAAAGATGCGTATTCCACTGTGTTCACTCCACAGGCGGTTTGCCGACAAAAACAATATCTTGACACCATCTGTGGATCACATCGTTACTCGCGTTAGCCAGAACTCACCGTGGCTCATCGAGTTTGGATGACTAGTGATGCGCATTAAGGTAGTCAGACCCGAACTACGATTTGATCAAAGTAAATTCCACTGCTTCAGATCATCCTGCTTTTTACCCCTTAAGGAGTTTGCCTTGGACTCAGGAACGTTGGTGTAGATGAGCGTCAGAGCTCCGTACTTCCGCCGGGTCTTCGGTGATATTGGAGGCATGGATATTGTGGCCTTTGGTGACGTCTCTGCAGGTGGCACCTGGTCATTGACCTGTGTTGTGCCCGTAGAGGATGAAGCTATTGAAGTCACTCTTTGATTATATCGAGCAACAACGGTCGTATAAGTGGATCGGTCTTTAGAGAAGTTCGGATTTTATCGGTCAATCGGAAGTGTAGATGAGACCGAAGTTGCATCAGTCGATACATTTGATAAGAGTAGGTGGACGGTGGAACTAGATATGCTTCTATAGTTCGTAATGACGAAATGGTTCGTGGTTCTCAAGATTTACAGGAATACGAGGACGTGGGGATGCCTGGACCTTTTCCTTGGTTCCGAGAAAGTAATTAGAGGGGACGGATGAACTGAAAGCTGTGCTAATGTCGTTCATGTACATACTTTAGATGTCTAAGATAAATTCGCACCTTCCGATGAGTAAAGGAGGCAAAAGTTTTCTGGTAACTGGAGTGAATAAGATCCATTCATGCTAATAAAATGATATGCATCAAGCGGGTCTTCAACCTTGAGCACTAGACAAAGGCAGCGTAGAAATTCCGAAATATAAGGGGTGATTGAACCGTCATCAAAAACACGGTATAGAGTGATAGCTGGCTCAACTGAGAGCCAACAACCAGTTGTGAAGCGGTTGACGGAGTACGAAATAGAATCGAGTTGCAGTTAATGCAAAACACTGAGCGATATGGCAGATTCTTAGTTAAAAACATGGGAATAAGTCACAATGCAGTTTGTAGCAATTGAATTTGTTTCTTCACTAAAACAAATCGACTGATTCAACGAGCAATGGTTCATGGTGTTCTTACAAACAAGAGTGAACGAAACATGCACGAAGAATCGTTCTGCATTGGAAGATCGAGAGGTGGTTTTTGAGGACCTGTAAGCATGGTGGGGAGGGCTGTGAAGAGCAGTGATTTTCCAACTCAAGTACTCTGCTCATTAAGGAAAACCCCATCCGAAAACAAGGCTTTATCAGTGGCTTAAAGGTGAAGATAAAATGGAATCTTATGCACTCAGGACGATTCACATATGTAGTCCAAAGACAGTGGAAACATTGGCACAACCTGCTAAAACTCACACAGCGAGGAGAGAAAACTCGGCAACTGCTCTGGGACTGACAGTGTCACCAATATCCATTCCTTTATCCTCTCGCAAAATGGGAGCGGCTATAAAGACAACTTGATTATCTCTACCCTTGAGCCAAAAGTTGACAGCCGTCTGGAATCACAGGGAGGTAAGCACAAAGGTCAGTGAGTGAAATAGTGAGACAACGTAAACCGCCGAAAAGAGAACACCTCACCTTGTCAACTGTCATGCGAGCATCGAGGATATACGTCCAGCCAGATAAACCAAGATCCGACCAATTCCAAGAAGCATCCAGCTGACGAGTGCCAAAGTCGATCACACAGAAGCGAGCACATGTTATTATTGCCAACTTTGATCCATTCGTCCTAGGAGATAGAGGTTCCATGCATAGGTAAGGCGTATGAGTTTTTGACAGTGAAAAAGCAGTTCCACTCTCAATGCAATGTCCGCATGAAAGATGTGAGCAGTGCACAATGCACGGAGTGTTTAACAATTCATAAAATAGTTAACAAACCACGACATGTATAGCGGTCTAGGCCAGATCAATAAAAACCCCTGAATTTAACGGGTACTCGATCAGCGTGCCAACAATGTTACGTGCAGTAAGGCAAGTCCTGTGGGATGGTCAGAATTAGAACAAGAAAATTGGGAAAACGTAGTGATAAAATGAAAAGCGTTTTGACGGACTCACCATAGTCTTCATATTGAAGCATGTGCAAAAGAGCTTACCTGGTGGTGTATGAAAGGCATTCGCAACGCTATATTCAACCGTGGACCCCTTTTGAACTTTTCGCTTTTTCATGCTCCCCACACATGATCACAATAATTTCAGCAATGCGAAACGCCTAACAGACATAAATATGTGATTTCCAGTGGTCACATTATAACCTTCTATTACCGTGGCTATTTTTTAAACGTTGGTAGCACGGCTCTTCCCTTATAAATCTCATTTTCGAACTTTCGCAACCTCCAGATAATATTCGTTATGTGGCAACATCAAACCCCTTGTCCGTAATAACACAAGTCACTATAAATAATTAAAATTGTAGAGTAGATCGGAGAGATAGTGCTAACAAACCAAAGGTAAGTGGCTGAATGCGTCATCCAACCGACGGCGCATAAACGACCGATTCAGTGAGGGAATGCTACGACACATATACAAATGGAAACGAAATTTCTGTTGTGATCTAGACGGTTGTTCTGCAAGTTTCAGGGAGTGACCCCTCAAGTGTGGTATTGCTGAGTTGCAGTAAAAAGCGGCACACATGATTTAGATCATGCATAAGTAAATAGGCCAAGATCAGGTCGCTTCGTACTCGACGATACTGTCTACTGAATACCATCAAACGTTTCAGCCATTGTTCGTATGGGAGAATGCGCATCCCAATGACCTACATGGATGATCGACGTTGAGTTTTCTCAAGTGCAGTTAGGTCGCGTTTTAGACCTGAATGCCAGACATGAATTGCGCATTCGACATGGGGGCTGATATACGCACTGGACATCAGTCCGAACGCCCGCACCAGATTTCGATGCTCTTTCGTGTTGCTTGGAACAACCTAAGTCATCCTGAATCAGCACCCCCAGATCAAGTTCGACGGAAGATTGCTGCAGTACATGTGCTCCGAGCCTGTGTGTGTGGTTGATCTGGGGTCCGTATGGAGAGCACCTTGCAGTCACTCACATGGAAATACAGTAAATTTTGGATTGACCACCGATGTGCCGTGCCTAGGTCACTCTGAATCAGATTCTGATCGGTATTCCCCTGAATCCTGCGCCATATCTTGATATCGTCAGCAAACAGTATGTAACTTGAAGCGATTGCCCGTTCAATGTCATTAATATATGCCATGTCACGTTTCGGCGAGAGTCGTGTCGGAAGTTAGTGCTCGGGAGAAAGAAACGAGAACCTTCAAACAGATGTAGCCACCGATCCCTCTTATCATTACAGGAGACTAAGTCGTATTGACCGCCCAGATGCAACACACTAGTGGACAATTTTTCAACTCAGGCGTTCAAATTACCAGTCAGCATCACATTACCCTTACTTGTTCTGTAACGAAGATCGTTCAGTTGGTGATAGAAATCACCTTTCACCGAGTCAGTGTTACAGTTTGTGGGCGCGTATGCAGCAATGACAAACAGACATCGTTTTCCCCCGCACTTCGTAGCTTTGAATGAACCGGTCAATCTGACGGCGCACATCCGGCTGTTGACTAGGATCCAATCGATCAGAGCAGCTTCAGCTTGGGTGCTCAGAACAATGCCCACATCGGCTTGACCGCCATTTGAAGTTGCGTCATCTCAGGACAGGTGCGATGAGAAAGTGCCGTCAGTGTAGCACATTGAGGATCGCAGCGCAATCACAGAGCTCGAGTCTTGCAAGCGGCTTTCCGACAAGCAGCAGATATCGATCGAAATGATCTTCAGTGTTCGGGCAAGTGCTATCTGTTGGTGTAATGATCCCCTCTGGCATCTCATTTTACCTAGTGTATGGGGTGTGGTTAGGGGAGTGTATAGGATGATCCTTGCTTTTTTCAGACCTGCTGCTGATGAACAGTTAAAATAGGGGCTCCACTTCATTTACTTGCTAAGGTGACGCGCTTTTACGTTGATGATTGCCTATTGAGTTGCAATAATCGAGAGGTAGTCCAACGTTTCATTGCGTAATTCCAGAAAACTGCATCCAGAGGAGGCTTCCGTTTAACCAAATGGAAGTGCAACGACTGTAAGCTACTGCGAGAATCACTGGTGAACAAAGCTGTTTGCGATTCTGTCAAGTTAAATTTACTATCCAATAAGTTGCAGTCCATATTGGGGCTAAACCGAAACCTGACTGATGATTGCATATGCTTTAGTATAGCAAAATTTGAAAGGAATTGTTCCCGTCGGTCATTTCTGTCTTTTGTCGCATCGATTTACGACTCAATGGGGCTGGTTGCTCCCGTATTGCTCCAAGCCAAGCAACTCCTACAGTCATTCACCCGGAAAGGAGTGGCATGGGACCCGCCGCTCAATCAGTGAGAACGGGATGAGTGGCTCTGATTTTTAAACGATATCCGTTTGTTGGAACAGCTAAAAATCCCGAGATGCATTATAGCGGAACACTTTATTGGCGGTACAATACGGTCAAATTTCTTCTCAGATACTGCAGAGGCTGGGCATGGTGTATTGTTGTACGCAAGAATCGTGGGTCCAGATAACCGATTCCAAATTCCCTTTCTAATGGAGAAGTCCCATGTATCCCCAATAAAAATGATCACAATACCTCGCTTAGAACTTACAGCTACCGTTCTTGCCGTTCGATTAGTCACTCAAGTGTCACAAGAGTTACAAATAGAAGAACAACCGGTGTTTTGGACGGATTCCATGGTCGTTCTGCAGCTCATACGTTGTACGACTCGACGATTCACGACGTTCCTAGCGAACAGGGTTTCTGAGATTCGTCAGTGTTCTCATCTAACGCAGTGGAAATATGTTAAAACATCAGAGAATCCAGCGGACCTTGCTTCCCACGGTTTCCGTGTCAGCGACGAATCATGAATGCAGATGTGGCTCAATGGGCCTGACTTCCTACATCGTCACTAGTGTCATTGGCCAGAATCTCCTTTAACTTTGAGTGAGTTGCCGAAGGAATGGCTGAAAAGGGAGGATGTTTGGGTCCATTGCGTATCAACTACGAAGAGTTTGTTAGAAAGATTTGCAAGTTGTGGTAGTTGGATCATACTGAAGAGACGCAATGCAATTTTGCTGAGATTTAAGCGCTACTTAATGCAAAGGTACAGTGGGCGTCCAACTAATCCTATCGAAGGTCGTTCAACATTACCCGTATTGAAAGAAGCTAAATTCGAAATAGTGCGGAATGTACAAGGTAAAAGTTTTGCGAAAGTGATTGATGTACTGAAATCTAACCAGCCGAACGAATCTATTAGACGTCTTAAACTTTCATCCAGTCCGTTGAGGGCACATCGTCCGTTCTTGGACAATGATATCCTACGAGTAGGTGGGAGATTGAATCGGTCGCCATTGCCATACGACACCAAACATCCTATTCTACTACCAGCTGGACACTTTGTGACTCGCCTCCTCATCATGGAATGTCACGAAATCAATGGGTATGCCGTGCTCTCTAAACAACGCCAACGCTATTGGATATTAAGTGGTGTTTCAGCAGTCCGGAAGACCCTGATGGATTGTTCAAAGTGTGAGATCTGGAATGTTCAGTCCTGCGGGCAACAGATGGCTCCGTTGATTCAGGATGGTCGTTTAGCATTTCAGCCGGCATTTACAACAGTTGGTGTCGACTATTTTAGACCATTACTTATAAGAAAGACGAACAACAGAGAAGCGTTACGGCTGTGTGTTCACCTGTCTTTCAGTGCGAGTAGTTCACATTGTAATTACCCGTGCTATGGACAGACTCCTTGTTGTGCGAGTTCCATCGATTTGTTTCACGACGCGGTGTTCCTCTGAAGATCTACAGCGATAATGGCTTAAATTTCCGTGAGGCTGGAAGCGAATTAAAAATATCAATTCGCTAATGGAATCAAAACAAGTTACACCGGTCACTGAACGGAAGAAATTGTGAATGGATATTCGATCCATCTCATAGCAGTCATCGCGAGTGTCTGGGAACGTCCCATAAGTTGTATATGGAAGACACTCCGTGTGACGCTTGGGGAACAGCCTGTCAGTGACGAAGTTCTCCAGACGACGGTAGTCGAGATAGTACGGATCATCAATAATCGAGCTTTGATACTCAACCCCGGTCATCCGGATGAGTTTGGAGCCATATCACCGAGCCAGCTGCTGACTTTAACAGCTTATCGATCACTGGAGACGGAGCAGACCGTCATTCACGACAGAATGACCAGACAGTGGCGTCAAGTGCAACAATTGTCAGATGAATTTTGGTAAAGGTGGTTGTAGTGCTACCTACCTAGCTTGCAAACACGTCAAAGGTGGCATGAAAAAATACGTTGCTTGAAGACTGGTGACAGTCCTGGTGGCAGACGTACGCACAACAAGGGGTCTGTTGAAGTAGCGAAGATCGGGCGCGACGGACTTGTTCGGGAAGTGATTGTTCGAACAAAGAGAGAATCAGAAGGGATGTAAAACACTTGTGTTTACTAGAAGAGGCCCTCAATGAAGAGGCTGGAACGGAAGCCGAAGACGCCGGGAGTGAATCACAATTCACAAAGTTGAATGACATTACTGACAATTTATGAGTAGCTCGCTTTTCTTTGACATTTCATCACACCGCGCATCATATGATAATTTGCACATTGGCAGACGTTGGATTGTAGCCGATAATTATCCGAACGAACCAAATGACTCGCGTTCATTTATATGCTTATATTTTTGT